GTATCAAGTTTTTTATGTAAATCGACAGCTTCGAATCTTGTTAATGGTTTTTCATCTTTGTTTGAGGAAAAATGACGTAAGCAATGTTTAATTTCTTCATAATTTTCATTTAAGGATTTCACAATATTGGAAAATAGCAGACCACCTGGTGTCACAAATAGGTTTCATACTCAAGTGTTTGCTCTTACAAAATTTTTGGAATGCATTCCCCCTATGTGTAGAATTTGAAAAAAATACGTACAATTCCTGCACGATATTGAAAAAAGCAATGCAACGATGCGAATGTAATTTTCCATGCTTCCAATTTTCGGCAGCAGCGTTTCCAATTAAATTTAATGAATGATTTGTGCATGCTATAAAATAGACAGAAAAAATATGTTCTTTTATTCTAGATTGGAGTCCTTTATATTTACCTGACATATTAAACGCATTATCATAACCCTGCCCCAGACAGTTAGTGATGTCTAAATCTACATTATTTAAAAATTCTTAAATGACTTTTTCCAAGTTTATACCAGTATGAGAAAATATAGGAAGAAATCCCAAAAATCTTTCTTTTATATCACTTGGAAGAACATAGCGAATAATAACGGTCAGCTGATCTACGTGAGATATATCAGGTGTTGAATCAATAATTAGAGAGTAAAATTTGGCTTCCTTTATTTCGTTCACTTAGTGAGTTGTAAATCCTTCGTCCACCCTTGTCGTCTTTATCTATCAAAGATTCGGCATAATTTGAATACGTTTCAGCTATAATTATGAATATCAAGTTTTTCTGTTAAATAAAAATAAAAATTAATTACAAAAATTGAAAACCTAAATTTCGGGCCCCAAAAATTACGGGCCCTCGGCACGTGCCTATGTTGCCTAGGCCTTAGTCCGCCCCTGATTACACCACTTGTCTAAAAAACATATCATCAAAGGAAGCTCTTATTTTACTAAGCATTCAGTTAATCCCTTAACCTCAGTTAATGTGTGCATTGACATTTAGATTTTTATCGGATGTCATTGGTACGTGACACTGATATGGTTGACAATGAGATGTTATCACACACAAAAGGATAAATTTTAAATTAAATAATTGCCATTTTTGAAGAATATAGTTCTGTTTTGTCTAATCCGGGCCGTTAATATATATTTTACGAATCATTATGAAAACGTGTGTAGGGATCAAATTAATATTTAGGAGAGAAAGAACAATCACCCTGCTGAACTTTGATCAAAAACATGATATAACGAGGTTAATTAGAGATGAAGGATTAAAAACATTTGAAATTATTTTTATCGAGAGCAAAATTTTTAAGGCGTTTGTGATTAAAAGCCAAGTATATTTCAAAAAAATTAAAAGTTTTCTTTCTTTCTTTCTTTCTTTTTTTTTTTTTTTTTTTTTTTTTTTTTTTTTTTTTCTTGACTCAAAGAATTTTTCAGATATCAGACATTTCAAGATATCAGATATTTCAATATAACATACTAGAAAAAGTTATTAGTAAAATAATAAAATCAAAGGAACCCGAGTACTTTTAACACTGTATAAAAAGTTCATGTTTATTTCATCATTTTGATATTTTCGCCATTACAAATACAATACTATTTGTTCGAATTTCATTCAGATGTTGACAAAAGACAACCTAATGACCCGTCAAATTTTCTAACAGTAGTGTTGAAGAGTCAGAAGATGTAAGAAGATGTAAGAAGATGTTAGAAGATGATAGAAGATGTAAGATTATAAATTTTTTTCTTTTCTTTTCTTGCTTGAATAAAAGTTTGAGAAAACAATCATATTTTGCGTTACGCGTAAAGGGGAACCACGAAAATATATTTCAGATTGTTTGATTCTATTTAAAAGCTCAGTAATCGCAACGAATTTTTTAATTAATGAATAATTTTTTTAGCATTTTTGTGAGTATAATGAGATGCTCTTTAAATTTTTGTAGTTCACTGACTCAACCCGAAAATCAAAGTAACTCGCTATTTAAGTATTGGAATAAAACCATATTTATGAAAATTATAAAAATAACTAATTAAAATCAAGATTAAATTGAAATTAAAATTATCAAATTTCGCATTACACGCTAAGAAAAACAAACGAAAATGCTTTTCAGGTTGCTTTTATTGGTATATAAAATAAGATAACTTGCAATTTAAGCATCGGAATAATATCAAAATAATCACATTTTGTGTTACACGCAAAAAGGAAAACCACGAAAATGCTTTTTTTTTTTAATTGCTTGGTGATAATAGATTTAAGCTAAATGTTCATCATCACCTCATTGAAAATATTTTTTGTAAACAACCATTTTTTTTATTATTATTATCCTTAAGGGTACCATCTTTCTGAACAGAACGAAAAGCTCTTCTTATTAACTCATCCCAGAAATCAAAGTTAGTTGGATTTTAAATATCGAAGTACAATTGCTATAAAAATAACTTATTTTAATTAAAATTATTAAATTTTGCGTTACACGCTAAGGAAAACCACGAAAAGGTTTTTAAAATTGCTTTTATCAGTAATTGGATTGCAGCTAAATGTTTATGATCTAAAAGAAATTATTTTCTAATAACCAATAATTTTTTTTATCATTCTTGTGAAGCTTATCATCTTTGTGAATGTAACGAAAAGCCCTTATTATTTTTAATTCAATTCAGAAATCATAGTAATTAACAATTTAAGTATCGGAATACAATCATATTCATGTAAGAATAGTTTATTTTAATGAAGATTAAATTAAAAAAATAAAATTTACGTTACATGCGAAGGGAAACCATGAAAAAGTCTTTTAAATTGCTGAATGGTAATAGGTTTCCAGATAAATGTTAATTATCGCAATGAAATTTATTTTATAATCAATAATTTTTTTATCATCTTTGAAAAACAATCTGACATCTTAGTGAATATTCTAAACACTCTTCTTATATTAATATTTCTTTACACAACCCAGAAATCAAAGTAACTTGCAATTTAAGTATCAGAATAAAGGCATACTTATAAAAGCTATTGTAGTAACCAAATTCTACGATACAAGTTAAGGAAAACCACGAAAACGTTTGTCAGATTTCTTGATTGAAATAGGATTCCATCACGAAATGTTCATTACAGCAATGAAATCATTTTATAATAATCAATCATTTTTTTTATCATCTTTGATATATAGCCCATCTAAGTAAATGTTGTGAAATGCTCTAAAAAATTTTTTGTACCTTTTTGTATTTTTGTACACAACCCAGATATCAAAGTTACTTGTAATTTAAATACAGGAATGAAATTATATTTTTAAAGACTTTTTAAATGAAAATAATTAGAATTTACCATAGGGCACAAATGAAAACCATGAAAAAGTTTTAGTAACAAACTAATTGAACGGTAGCAGACAATTATGAGACTCTATCTCAGCAATTATTAACATTTTCCAATTTATTGTTCTTCATGAAATTAAGTGTTTTGGGCAGCTTAGATTGCTCATAAAACTGTTCTTTATTTTATTTTAATTATTATTTCATTTTAATTATTATTTTCATATTTTTTATATGTTTTTAATTAGCACTTAAATTGTTTTTCTGTTTTTTAATTTTATTTATTTCAAGTATTTGATTTTAGACCAATATAAAAATCAATTTTTAAGAATACATTAATTTTTTCATTTTAAAATTTATACATTATAAACCTTTAAAAAAATATGAAAAAAATGTGTTATGATTTTTCTGGCATATAGACAGAATGTTATTATTTATCATAACAATTAATAAAAATCAAATAAAAAAAAAATAGAGTAGAGACCAGTGATGTCATAGTTCACCCTGACATTCGTTTGGTATAGTGATTGATCTTTCTATCTTTATGTCTTTGTTTGAACTTACACAAGTAGGACTGGACTATAAATCGATATATCACGACATATCGATTTAACGCCTGTATCGGCAGGCCGATACAGCGACTTTAGTTCCAGGCGATGCATCAGAAATCTGATTTAAGCCGTCGAGTAAAGAAGACGAACGATATAGCGATATACTATATAGCGATACAAGACATGCAAGGATCTTTTACGTTCCGATGCCAACTCGCGCTGGGGAAGACGATGTTCGTATCGTTATATTGAAACGGCCTTGATTGATGAGCGGTAGAATCAGAATCAGTTTTGAGAACATATATCGTGATCTCGCATGTTAGTTTCCGCACCTCTTAGTTTTTTTTTCTGCTTTGTCGCGACTTGATATCGTTTCTTGCAGATTATTATTAGTGGGACTGACTTTGTGATAATGAAATTATAACAAAACTTATTTTTCCTCCTTTGGATTTGGACATAAGTCAATCAACTTTGTTTATTCAAAAAAATTAGTTATGTTTGCGATTGCGACTTCTTTTTTTAAAATCATTTAGGACTTTGTTTTATTAAAGAGTATAATCGTGTTTTTTAATTTTCTTTCAATATTGTCAGTTGAATATATTACCGAATATCATAATTCTTTTGTTTTTATTTTTAAGAAATTAAACCCAACTTTGTTTTTTTGCTCAGAATTCGGTAATTATTCAATTTAACTTAATTATTTATGTGAAATAATAGTGATAAAAAATAGTGTTGTTTTAAAAGTGTTTTTGTTTTTTTTTAATTTGTTTAGCACTTTGTTTTAAGCATACAAATAATTTTTAACGAACTTATTTCTTAAATTTTCTTTCTATATTGTTAGGTAAATATATTGATAAATTTCAATTTTATTTATTTTTTTATTTTTAAACTAAGAAATCTTTCGTTTTTTGCGCGATCATTTTTAGAAAATATAACATTAATATCTTTCTTAAGCAAAACATATACATCAAATTCATAAATTGATTTAAATCAATCTGAGTATGAAGTTTTGATAGAAAACCGACTTTCTGCTCCTTACAAGAATTTCTTCGTAGACTTTCTGCTCTACGAAGTACTTCGATTGGTTTGAAAATATTATCAAACCAAGCATGCGCATTAGCGAAATTGAACAAAAATGCCATTCTAGTAAACCTGACAAAACAATTAAGCAATAAAGATGAAAACGATGACTTAATCGGCCAATCAAATGCCTCTATTTATTAAAAAGTCGGTCAGCTAAGCAAAAGCTGCTCTATATTTCGGGCCGAACTGAAGGTTAGAAGGGAAATGAAAAGGCCTCCTCTCGTATCCTTTGGCGAAGATGTAAACAACTATCATCGTTTTTGTATAGTTCTTTCTTGAAAAAATTTTTACCGAGATAACTGTATTAAAACATAATGTCTTACTTAGACCGAAGAAGACATTAATTAACCATATTTGTGTAAAGGAAAGTTTTAAAAAAGTTGTTTTTGATTTGCAACTACTTGGATCAAATTTATAAGTCCGCGGATTCGTAATCTCACACATGTAATTACCCTCGTTGTAATGGAAACAATATAGAAAGCTTTTGAAAAAGGTTATTTCCATCCAGATCTAAATCATACATTATCATCTTTATACGAAAAAAAATCGATGTGAATGATAAAATATCTTTTTTCTGACAGTTAATAAAATTCGTATCGTGCGTGCATAAATTTTTTTTAAAAACATTCTGTTTTCTGGACGATTCATTGTGTGAAAATTCTCCAAACTATATTCTGTACATTCATTGTGTGAAAATTCTCCATGGGTAAAGGGAATATTATTATATAAAGGCAATGTCTATCTATGTAGCAACACTAGCAGCAAATAGTCTCTGTGCATGGACGCAATGAAGTTCTAACAGAAAATTATTTTCATACATGGAAATTTAATGTTTGTGTTCCTGAGTTTCCAATTGTAGTTCATAATTATTTTTCGTTATTATAAAACATTTTACTTCTGTTCTAAAAATTAAAAAAAAAAGAAGTAGTTTCATTTCATTGCTTTGTGTTCATAATTTAGACATAATTTATTTAGACAGGCATTGTGATAAATTAATCAAGGAAAAAAAGTATAATTTGGTACAAGTAACACTTTAAACGAACTTTTAATGCAGTGCATTATTAAACAGTTATAAATAGATCAAGATTACTGACTACCGCAGATAATTAAGCTGTGTGTCACTTTCATAAACCATATATTTATACACAAGAAATTTAAATTGTGATTTTCTTGTTCACACTGAGAAAATGTTTTTTGTATTCAATTTGAGCAATTTAATACTCGTAAATAGAATTAAACTTTGTTGACTATCTCGTATTTATGTTAATGAATAAGAGCTTGCTTTTCTTGTGCATGATAGAACGTTGATTTAAAAATTTGAAATGAAAGATTTTTTAATATTATTATAGATAATTTCAATCCTTTTAAGTCTGTGAAAGTGAAATTTTTTTTTTGTTGCCTTTCTTCGTTTATAATGAACTATATTTCTGCATTGTCTTAGTTAATGAAATCAAGTTTGATAATTTCATGTTCATAATTGTTATCATCATGTTAATATCACAAAGTAAAATAATTTAATTTAGTTTTGTATCTTGGTATGTTCAACAAAAGAGAAATGTTAAAGTTGATTGTGAAAAATAAAAAATTTTAACATCTCAATATAATTTAAATGAATGCTTTCACAGATGCACCTATTAATAAATCATATTTCTTCAGTATTATATTTTACTTAATTAAAAATTTAGTCAAAGTAAGTGACTTAATACAGCATGTTCTTTTTTGTATTAAGGGCCTAACTTAATTCAGAATAAGTATCATCCTGTAAGTAAACCTTATTCTTGTTATTGTAGCAAGAGGCTTTCAGGAAAATGTCCGACTGATACTGGTGAGAAGCCTTTTTCTTTTAGTATATGTAAGAAGATATTCTTATTGAAGGATAATTAAAAAAAACATTTGTGTGTTTACTGGGGAAAAACCTTATTCTTGTACTATATGTAAAAAGAGTTTTTTCAGAGAAGATTAATATGACTAAACATTGTCATGCTGATACTGGTGAGAAACTTTATTCTTGTAGTATATGTAATAAGAGTTTTTCACTAAAAGGTAGTCTGAAAAGACACAGTTGTATTCATACTGGTGAGAAACCTTATTCTTGTAGTATATGTAATAAGAGCTTTTCACTTAAAAGTAATCTGACCAGTCACAGTTATGTTCATACTGGTGAGAGGCGGAAGCCTTATTCTTGTAGTATATGTAATAAGAGTTTTTCACTAAAAAGTAATCTTAAAGAACACCATCATATTCATACTGGAGAGAAGCCTTATTCTTGTAGTATATGTAATAAGAGTTTTTCACAAAAAGGTAATCTGACACGACACAATCTTGTTCATACTAGTGAGAAGCCTTATTCTTGTAGTATATGTAATAAAAAATTTTCACTGAAAAATAATCTGACCAGTCACAGTCGTGTTCATACAGGTGAGAAACCTTATTCTTGTAGTATATGTAATAAGAGTTTTTCACGAAAAAGTAATCTCATTGGACATGGTCTTGTTCACACTGGTGAGAAGCTTTTTTCTTGTAGTAAATGTAATAAAAGTTTTTCACAAAAAAGTACTCTGAAAAAACACAATCGTGTTCATACTGGTGATAAGCCTTATTCTTGTAGTATTTGTAATAAGAGTTTTTCACAAAAAAGTAGTCTGACTCTACATGGTCTTGTTCATACTGGTGAAAAGCCTTATTCTTGTAGTATATGTAATCAAAAATTTTCACTAAAAAGAAATCTGACCAGACACAGTCGTGTTCATACTGGGAACTACAAGAAACCTTTTTCTTGTAGTATATGTAATAAAAAATTTTCAGAAAGAGTATTTCTGAATGTACACAGTCGTGTGCATACTGGGGAGAAACCTTATTCTTGTACTATATGTAATAAAAGTTTTTCACTAAAAGGTAGTCTGAAAAGACACAGTCTTATTCATACTGGTGAGAAACCTTATTCCTGTAGTATATGTAATAAGAGCTTTTCACTTAAAAGTAATCTGACCAGTCACAGTCGTGTTCATACTGGTGAGAGGCGGAAGCCTTATTCTTGTAGTATATGTAATAAGAGTTTTTCACTAAAAAGTAATCTTAAAGAACACCATCATATTCATACTGGAGAGAAGCCTTATTCTTGTAGTATATGTAATAAGAGTTTTTCACAAAAAGGTAATCTGACACGACACAGTCTTGTTCATACTAGTGAGAAGCCTTATTCTTGTAGTATATGTAATAAAAAATTTTCACTGAAAAAAAGTCTGACCAGTCACAGCCGTGTTCATACAGGTGAGAAACCTTATTCTTGTAGTGTATGTAATAAGAGTTTTTCACGAAAAGGTCATCTCATTAGACATGATCTTGTTCACACTGGTGAGAGGCTTTTTTCTTGTAGTAAATGTAATAAAAGTTTTTCACTAAAAAGTAATCTGAAAGAACACAATCGTGTTCATACTGGTGATAAGCCTTATTCTTGTAGTATTTGTAATAAGAGTTTTTCACAAAAAGGTAATCTGACACAACATGGTCTTGTTCATACTGGTGAGAAGCCTTATTCTTGTAGTATATGTAATGAAAAATTTTCACGAAAAATAAGACTGACCAGACACAGTCGTGTTCATACTGGGAACTACAAGAAACCTTTTTCTTGTAGTATATGTAATAAAAAATTTTCAGAAAGAGTATATCTGAATGTACACAGTCGTGTGCATACTGGGGAGAAACCTTATTCTTGTACTATATGTAATAAGAGTTTTTCACTTAAAGGTTGTCTGAAAAGACACAGCCGTGTTCACACTGGTGAGAAGCCTTATTCTTGCAGTTTATGTAATATAAGTTTTTCATTAAAAAGTAATCTGAAAAAGCACTGTCTTGTTCATACTGATGAGAAGCCTTATTCTTGCAGTTTTTGTCATAAGAGTTTTGCACAAAAACTGATTCTGAATCAACATAGTCGTGTTCATACTGGTGATAAGCCTTATTCTTGTAGTATATGTAATAAGACTTTTTCTCAAAAAGGTAATCTGACACGACACAGTCTTGTTCATACTAGTGAGAAGCCTTATTCTTGCAGTTTATGTCATAAAAGTTTTTCACAAAAACTGCTTCTGAATCAACACAGTCGTGTTCATACTGGAGAGAAACCTTATTCGTGTAGTATATGTAATAAGAGTTTTTCACAAAAAAGTCATCTCATTAGGCACGGTCTTGTTCATACTGGTGAGAAGCCTTATTTTTAGTTGGTTTATGAAACATGTAAAGTATTATAGATTGCTTCATAAAATCAATTTCTTGTTTTTCAAGACAAGTCATTTAAATATTTAATGGTCATAAAATTTTTTAATTGCATTTGAACGTTTTTGAGACTATTTTCACCCAAAAATTTGAAGAACGCTCAGGATTACTCAAACTCTTACAAAATAATCGTAATTAGTAAACCATAAGTTTTTTTTTTTAAATTCCAAAATCTATTTAACTAAATAAATTAATTTAATAAGGAAATATTCAAAGGATTTTAATTTGTCATTTTGAAATAGCTGTCCAGTTCATTAAAAAAAAAATTTGTCATGAGGTCTTTATGTATAAGTGTGTGATATTAATATGTAGTTGTTTTCTTATAATTCAGCACATTTTCAATATTTTGTTATAAATATTTCTATTTTTCTATAAATGGTTGAAATAAAAAGCACTTTATTTAATTTTATAATTATACTGTGTATTATAACATAATAGATAAAGAAATTAAGTTCAAAAAATTTTTCAAAGATATTTTTTATAAAAATTATTATTTTTAGTACAATTTCCATATCTTGTACAAAATATATTTCTATTTTTCTATAGACAATTAAAATAAAATGCACTTACTTTAAAATTGCATTTGCAAATTTTTAATGAAATTCTATACATTTGTAAAAGACATTCTTTAAAATTTATTTAATTTCAATTTATTTCCTATTTTTTAAAGCTATTATAATGTTCATATGAAGTGATTTTTTGTCCCATTTTATGTAAAGTCAGGATGTTAAACTTTTTTTACAATTATGTTCCTAATGGTATTTAATATATTTTTTGTTGAGTGCGTAGTAAAATATTTTTACATAATAAATAGCTTTCTGGTTGATCATAGTCGTGTTTATTATGGTGTGATTTACTATTGTACATTATAGAAGGTGTTTAGTTTTAAAAAATTTATTATTCATTGCTATTTAATTTTCAATCTGAATATAGTATTTTTTAATTCTTAATTGTAACTTNAGATAGAACAATTCAGAGAAAGACATCACAAAGAATACATCCAGGGTTACGGCGGGATTCGAACCCGCTACCTCCACGCTTAACAGAGCGTTTGGACTTGTGATACCGCTCGGCCAGGGAGGCCCCATAAAAAGTTGAATTCATAAGATTGCCATAGGTAGAGAGTTCAGCTCTGCGCCACCTGCAGCCCATTTCGATCGCCAATTTACCCATCCTGTAATTTTATTTTGATCCTGTAATATTATTAAAAAAAATCTGCAGGTGGCGTAGAGCAGAACTCTCTACCTATGGCAACACTTTACATGCTTTCCCCATTAGCGTGTGGAAAGTCATAGAGGAAGGAAGTACGTTAGTTTCTCTCTTGATTTTCATATAGATTAAAATCTTTTAAGTTGGGAAACTATATGAAACTGAAAACTACATTAAACATAGTTCTAAAGAAAAATAATACTTTTCTCTAGAAGAAAAGTATTACTCAGGAACGTAGATAAGGGGGGTGTTCAAACACCCCCCATTGTACAGAGCAATGTTTCTTTCTTTTTTTTTTTTTTAATACTATAAA